AGCATTTTGGGAGGCCGAGGCAGGTGGATCACCTGAGGTCAGGAGTTTAAGACTAGCCTGGCCAACATGGCAAAACCCTGTCTCTACTAAAAAATACAAAAAATTAACCAGGCATGGTGGTGGGCACCTGTAATCCCAGTGATTTGGGGGGCCGAGGCAGGAGAATCACTTGAACCCAGCAGGCAGAGGTTGCAGTGAGCCAAGATTGTGCCACTGCACTCCAGCCTGGGTGACAGAGAGAGAGACTCCATCTCAAAACACAAAGAATGTATGATGAAGTCTAGTTCAAGGCATCCCGCTGTAGGGGTCATGAGAGCAAGAGCATATGGAGTGGTTTTGTCTGACTTCTGGCAAAATTTTGTTTGGGTAGACTGGGATGAAATGTCTATGGGATGATATGTTGTATGAGCCTTAGATCTTTATTAATACCAGGTAGCAAATACCTCCCCTCTTCCCTTTCCTCTTGCTTTCTATAACTGTCATGACCAGCCTGGAGTGACAGATCTGGGTGTAATATACTGTTATTAGATACAGTTTGCTATAAACTTGATCACACTTGCCTCTCATATACTGCTTTCCATTTCCCACTGCAGCCTCAGAAAGAATAGGGCTTCAGAAGGAAGGGAAAGGCAACTGGGAAGATTTCTTTTTCCTTTTGCTTCAGATGACATGGTACCATATCTATCAGATTATTTTTCTCTTTCAATCCCATATCTCACACCCATCTTAGATTGAATGTCTCTAACTAGTGAGATGGCAATTTTTTTTTTTTCTTTAGAGACAGGGTCTTGCTTGCTCTGTTGCCCAGGCTGCGGGGGCAGTGGTACAATCATAGCTCACACAGCCTAGAATTCCTGGGTCGAAGTGGCAATCCTACTGAGTGGCTGGGACTATAGGTGCATGCCACCATGCCTGGCTAATTTTTTAATTTTTTATAGAGATGGAGTCTTACTTTGTTACAGCTCAGGCTGGCCTTGAACTCCTGGGCTCATGTGATCTTCTCGCCTTAGCCATGCAAAGTTCTGGGATTACAGGCATGAGCCATTACACTCAGCCACAGGTTTTTAAATATATATATTTTTAGTTTAAAGTTTACAGCTCAGGGTTTTCAATATATTCACAAAATTGTACAACCATCACCACTATCTGATAATAGAACACTATCACAATCCTGAAAAGAAACCCTGTTCCCATTAGCAGTCATCTCCTTTTCCCTCTTCCCAGGTTTCTGGCAACCTACTTTCAGTCTCTACTTGTGTCTTTAGATATCTACTTTTTGTCTTGAATGTACTTTCTGTCTCTATAGGTTTGCCTATTCTGGACATTTCATAAAAATTAAATCACAAAATGTGTTTGTGTCTGGCTCTTTTTTACTTAGCATAATGTTTTTAATGTTCACCCATGTTGTTTCCAGTATCAGTACTTGGTTCTTTTGTATAGCTGAATAATACTCCATTATATGAATATACCATGTTTGTTTATCCATTCATTATTTGATGGACATTTCTACTTTTTTGGTTATTCTAAATAATGCTGCTATACACATTCATGTGTGGGTTTATATGGACATATATTTTCATGTCTCTTGGATAATACTTAGAAGTGAATTGTTGGGTCATATTGTAACTCTATGTTTAACTCCCTGAGAAACTGCAAAATTGTTTTCCGAAGTGACTGCCCTATTTTACATTCCCCTAGCTCTGTTTGAGGGTTCTAATGACTCACATCCTTTCTAATACTTGTTATTGTCCCTATTTTTTACTTTTGCCACCCTAGTTGATATGAAGTCATTTGTACTTGATTTCCCTAATAACAAATGATGTTGAGCATCTTTTCATATGCCCACTAGCCATTTGTATATCTTCCTTGGGGAAATACCTATTAAAATCTTTGCCCATGTTTAAATTGTGTTATTTTTCTTTTTATTGTTGATTTGCAGGAGTCCTTAAATATTTTAGATACATACGCCTGTTGAAATCAAAATAAAAATACAGAGAAGAAGTTCTAAATTTGGCATTTTATTTGGGATACAAGAATTGCAATGAGGGACATACATACAGATAGGATGGTCTTCAGTGTATCTGAAGAACAAAGAGAAGATTGGGAGTTTATAAAAAAGATAAATGTTATGTATTGTTTTCCAGAAGGTTCTTTGGCATTAGTCAAGTTTTGGGGAGCTGGCAAGCTCTCATTGGTGAGTGATGGCAGTAAAACCAGTCTTAGAGTTGCAGCAGGTTGTTTCAGCAGTCATGAGATAAAACTGGTTTCAGGTTACAGCAGGCGATTTCAGCATCCAGGCTTGCAGAGAATTACATTCTCAGAGTGCTGTTGCATTCCCTGAGTGCTTCTCCCGGTGGCTTCTTGACTCTGTTTTAGTTGGGTGTAACAAGAATGACCTAATTCACATCACTTATTGGATATATGATTTGCAAATATCTTTTCCTATTGTGTAGGCTGTCTTTTCACTTTAACGAAGGGAACTCTTCATGTAGAAGGTGACATGTGGGGTAGCTCCTGAAATGAATGGCAAAAATAGAATAAAGCTAAAAACTACTAAAATAAGAATATGCATTATAATATGTATGATAAACAGATTGTGTAATTAGGACTGTGGCTCTACTGTCTGTGCTGTGTATTTTTGTTTGTAGATCTATGATAGCTTTCTGTGTTTCAAGTGTCACTACTTAAGCTACTCCAAATCAAAGAAGAACAAATTAAAGAGGCAAATTAAAAAAGAACAGCAACCTCTTTCTTGCTTCCTATATTGATCAGTTCCCCTGATGAATGGTTTGCCAATTATCCATAAATACATTGGTAGGTATTTAAGGATAAGCAGAATAGAAACTGCATTTTCTAGGGCTTATTGGGCATAACATTCAGATAAGTCAATGTAATGTGGAAAATTTACAAAACTTGCTTTCCTCTGTAAAACTTGGAATGCATATGCATAGAATGCACTTTTCTGTCTTAAAAGTGAAAAAGAAGACCATAAAGTTCTTTACAGAAACATGAACACACCCAGACACATTGACTAACACAGCAAAGACATACTGGAATTCCTAGTGATTTCACTGTGATTCCTAATGATTGTGTATGGCACACAGTGAACTGAGATCATAAATTAATGCCAAGTTAGGCAAGTAAGTTTTTGACACTGGAAATGGACAATGTCATTACTGTATAAGATAAAAATGAAAAAAAAATTACTATAATTAGGGACTGCCAGGCAATAAATGAGATGCAGTTACCCGAAAGGGGAAATAAGAAAACATCTTGCTTCACTGTATGCCAGTGAACAAAGTGTGATTTATACAGACAACACTAAGTTAGGAAGGTGCCTTCCACGTGCAAGACGGAAAAACTAGGGGAATAAAGGATATCCTAAAATATTCATGGAGGCTTCTTTTCTCTGTCAACCTGAGAGAGAATGATAGGAGGTTATGAGGAAGAGAGCTTTTCAATTATTGTGGACTGTTTTTATTTTTCTCAAAATCCCTTAGGTGAACAAAGGAAATCAATATAAACAGTGGAAATCTCTGAGACATTTAGGAAATGGAAAACAATGACCAACAGTAAGACTTGGACAGATCCAAATTGATACAGAAGTGGTGGAAAATTCCATCACCTTTGAATATTTACCCCCTTTGAAAATACAGCAGAACATCTGCTAACATTGGCAGTAAGACATTGAATTGGAATGATTTAATCGATGAAATATATCAGTCAAATTTTTACTCCCCATATCCAGGAGAAGCAGTTTCTCACAGGTGTTTTATTGATATGTAGGATCACCAGGAAAAGAGACATTATCCGAGGTAATCATGGAAAAGTCTTGATTAGAATCACTTATGGATATTTTGGTAGTTCTGGGTTATTAGGCTTAGCTACTAGGCTGCTCTGTGTAAAGTCCTCAGAAGCTAATATGAAGTAAAATAGAAAGTCAAACCTATAATGATCTGGAACAGGATTATATCTCCAATTAAGAACACAGGATTGGTTTGTGGATGACAGAGTTGAGCTGCTGGCTCTCAACCCTGCAGTTTAGGAACATACTAGAATTCTTTCTAGCCATTTTCAGAGCTCGTTTTTGGATGTGTCACACATGACTTTACATATACTTTTTACAGAATTTCATTTGTATTTTGACTTGCCAGTGATATTTGTTGAGGCTGGGTTTTACTACATATCACAGAGTTCTAGAATATCAATGACTTAAATAAGATGGAATTTTATTGCTTTCTTGTAAAGTCTAGAGGTGGGCAAGGCAGAGTGGAGATGGCAGGACTGATCCATGGTGGGCCCAGGGACTCAGCCTTGTCTCACATTGGCAGGCTACCTTAACACATGTGTACCCTTATCCACATGGTATAGCCATTACATCTGTGTTCCAGGCAGAAAGAAGGAAGAAGAGACACAGAGTGGCCACAGGCTGCCAGAGGAAATTTCCATGCACATCTCATTGGCCAGAACATAATCACATGATCACACCAAGCAGCAAGGAAGACGGGGAAATGGAGATCTGATTTACAAAACTAAAAAAAAATGAGATTCAATTACTTTGAAATAAAGGGAGAACAAATATTGGGAGACAGACTATGGTATTCACAATACCACAACTTGGAAGCAAAGTATTAGACTGAATTTTGTAACACAATTCTGCCTTTTAGTTACTCTACATTTACCTGTTTTGAACTTCATCACTGCCTTGTATTTCTAATGTAACTGGTTTGATATTGATCAAGAAGTAACTAAAAGATGCTTGAGATCTCTGACTGTGGAAATGAGAACTACGTGGGGGTACACTTAATGGGGTTTAATGAGGTGGTTTCCTTTTAATGTTACACTCTTATTACAGAATAGTTGTGTTCACTCCTTTTGTACTCATCCTGTGATTAGCTACTTTAGTTATTTTACTTTTAACAAATTATCAAATGTAACCACTCAGCAAACATTCTTTTCAAGTTGACTCTTAGACTTTTTTGTCTGTGTTTACATGACAGTGTCTCCATATGGCTGTGAACACTGTGGATGCCCTCTGCTGCACCTTCTGAAGCGTGAATGTTTCTTCTTTGGCAAATGTAGAATTGAGTAAATAAACCTTGCCTCAATGGAGAGAGACATTTTAGGTAATGAAAACTAATCGATGGTTTGACCTAACTATGGATCATCAACAGGATATATGCTTCATGCCAAAGAGATGGAAATGGATAATGTCATTGAAAATGTGGGAATATAATTATAGGAAGAAGAGATTATGAAACATTATAAATGTTGAAGAGAAATCTTGCTTCAGATGCCACTTAAAGGAGGCCAGTAGGTTAAGGAAGAATGTAAATAAATACATATGGTCTATTTAAACCATATAAACATTAGAAAGATATTTTAGTAGCAAAATTAATCTTGAAAATTATCCATCCAAATATTTTTATTTTATAGAAGAGTTTACTGAAATACAGGAAAGTGAGCAGGAACTGTTATAAAATTAGTCATAAACCTCTTGGGAAAATAATTTCTATTGTTGCCATTATTGAATAATAGTCAACTAGATACAAAAGATTTTTGTAAGATTCTTACATAAGAGCTGCAACTGTTAATAATTTTTCTCATAATCAATTATTTACACTATTTTTAAGTTAAATCTTGGGACAAATCCTTAAACTCCTAAAATGAGGGGAAAGAATCATCTCCTCATAAAAATGATGTGATGTGGACAGTAAAATTGACATTTGAATACCATGTCTTACTCCTGCAAGCAAAAGCCAGTTGATACTTTAATATATGTGTCTAACTGCTTAAATATAAACACAAAAAATCCAAAACAACTCAAGCTTGGAAACACAGAAGTAGCTATGAAAACTCTGCTACCCATTGTTCATCTGCTGCTGCTTGTTTACCAAGAGCAAAGGTGAGTGGTCGTATGTTAGATAAGAGAACTAACATCAAACCAGTTGAAAAAGTTATTTACTTCCTATACTCTCAGCTTTTCACAGCTTGGTGGGCAAGAATTAAAATTATTTCAGTGAAGTCTAAAGAGGAAAGCCATTAATCTGGCAATCAGGGCGACGGCAGGGGATTTATAAGCTACCAATTTACATGTTGTATTTAGTCCTGCATGTTTCTCCATTAGCTTCTTCTTTTCAATATATTCTTCCAAAAAAGGGTTTTGGGAATATTTCATCTGTCTCTGTTGATTAAGGAGCATTTGTTTTTCATGCTTTAATTGGATAATGAAGAAAACAAGCACTATAATCTACTTAACAAGAAAGACCGTGGCAAACTTAACCACAAAGCTAACAGAATTGCTGAGCTTTTGTCATTTCTGCATCTCCCACAGAATGACCTTCTGTCTGAAAAGTTCATCCAGAGAGTCATCACTTTGTACTCCTGATCAGCGTGCTAAGCAAAGAGCAGCTGTGACTCAGTCTGGTGCACTGAAGAGATGGTTCCTGGTTCTTTTAAAGGGCACTTGTGTCCATTTTGCTGCTGTGGACATCCATCTTTCCTTAACATTCCTAAATTAAAATTGAAGGCTTTAGGAAGAGTCGTTATTATTATGAAGTTATATTAAGAAATAATAGCCTTTAAAATATATTAACACATTCTTAACAAATGTTATTGGGACAGGAAAATAAAGCAAACAAAAAGATACGAACAGAAGGGATTCTGTAGGATTTGTAGTTGATTCATTCATTCTCTTTCTTTCAGACCATTTCTTTCTGCTCTTTTTCTTCATCTCTTCCTTCCCTATCCTTCTCTCCCCTCCCTTCCCCTCCCATTTCCTTTTCTCTTCTCTCCAACACTGGTTACTGAAAATGCTTTATTTAATGATTTTGTAATGTCAGGACATGCTCTGGCAACCTCTCAAATACTTGGAAGGATTAATATGAAGGAACAGGCTGGCAGCTTGCTGAATTCATTTAAACAACAAATGCTATGGAACGAACAATTTTAAAAATGAGTGCCAGCTGGTTTTTTAAAGTAACTTTTCTTACTTAACTGAAGACTGATATCAATTGAACTAATTCAATGCAGAAGGGCCATCTTCATGCTGTTAAGTCCAAAGAAATGTTGAGTTATTGGTTTTTGCAATAGTGGTGTACACAGCCTATTTCACTCTATCTTGATATCCGTTTTCATAAAACCATCACAAGAACCCAGATATAATTCAAATTCAGTCTGTCCATTACATACAGATTAAAATCTCAGACATAAAACCAAATGTCTGTTTTTTAAAAATGAAAAACAATTTTAATTGACAAGTAAAAATGATCTTTACTGATCACATACAACACATCCTTTTGGAATATGTATACATTGTAAAATGGCTAAATTGAGCTAATTAACTTACTTATTTTTTAGGGAGTGAGAACACTTAACATTTCTTAGCAATTTTCAAGACTATAATATATTGGTATTAACTATAGCCACCATGTTTTACGATAGATCTATTGAACTTATTCCTCCTGTCTAACTTAAACTTTGTGTCCTTTGACCAACATCTCAACTCCCTCCTCGACTACAGTTCCCTGGTAACTACCATTTTACTCCTTACTTGTATGAGTTCAAAGTTTTTAGATTCCAAGTATAGGTGAGAACATGCAGTATTTTTCTGTACCTGGTTTATTTCACTTAATATCTCCTAGATTTATCTATGTTGTCACAAGTGACAACATTTTTGGTTTTTTTCAGGGTTAAGTAGTACTCCATTGTGCATATATACCATATTTTCTTTATCCATTCCTATGCTGATGGATACTTAGTTTGAGTCCATATCTTGGCTATTGTGAATAATGCTGTAATGAACAGGGGAGTGTAGCTATTTCTTTGACACACTGATTTCATTTCCTTTGTACATGTACCCAGAAGTAGGATTGCTGGATCATATGGTGGTTCTATTTTTACTTTTTTGAGGAACCTTTTTACTATTTCCCAGAATTACAGCACTAATTGACATTCACACTAACAATGTACAAGAATTCCCTTTTTTCCACATCCTCACCAAAATTTATCTTTTGTCTTTTTGATAATAGTTATTCTAACAGGTGTGAGGTGATATCTCATTGTGGTTTTAATTTGCTTTCTCTGATGATTAGTGACATTGGGCATTTTTCATATGCCTGTTGGCCATTTGTGTGACTTCTTTTGAGAAATGTTTGTTCAGATGTGTTTCCTATTTTTAAATTGGGTTTTTTGTTTTCTAACTATTGAGTTGTTTGCGTTCCTTAGAGATTTTGAACCCTCATCAGATGTATGGTTTGCAAATGTTTTCTCCCATCCCATAGGTCGTCTCTCTACTGTGTTGATTGTTTCCTTGACTGTGTCCATTACAGACAAATTAAAATCACAGTAATGAAACCACATCTCTGTTATTAGCTGGATTTCGTGGGGGCATGTTTCATTGTAAGCATTTCAGATTCAGAGCTTTTCTGGTTACTTTGGGTAAAGGCCCCTAAGCTCTAGGATACTTCTCCAGGATTCCTTGGTTTCTGATCTCTGAACTAGCTATGCTCTTCAGCTGCTTTTCAAACAAAAATGAAGAACTTGCTGACTCACTGACTTTACACACAAAAATATAAGAAACAACATTCTCGGCAGATGGGTTCATTTAATGTTCTCTAAACTTGTACTTGTTCTCCTTTGTGACCCTGTTCTAACAGCTGTTTTTTATCTTTATGATTTATTAATAGGGTTACGGCGCACCGTAGATTTTTGAACCTCTCTCTCTCTCTGGAGCTTAAATTATTACCTGATAGGAAAATTATCAAAGCATATTGATTGCTTCAGGTCTGGGAGACAACGTTTCTCCTGAGCTCACTTTGTTCCTCTTCCATTTGTCTCTTACCCAAGAGAGAAAACACAACCCAGAGTGTCTTTTTTATTTTTATTTTTATTTTTGAGGCAGAGTCTTGCTCTGTCGCCCAGGCTGGAGTGCAGTGGCGTGATCTCAGCTCACTGCCACCTCCGCCTTCCGGGTTCCCGCCCTTCTCCTGCCTCAGCCTCCTGAGTAGCTGGGACTATAGACGCCCGCCACCACGCCCGGTTCTTTTTTTTTGTATTTTTAGTAGAGACGGGGTTTCACCATGTTAGCCAAGATGGTCTCCATCTCCTGACCTCGTGATCCCCCCGTCTCGGCCTCCCAAAGTGCTAGGATTACAGGCGTGAGCCACTGCGCCCGGTCCCCAGAGTGTCTTAGAGGTGAATTGCTTCATGGAGTTTGCTGGCATTGATCAACACGGGATTCTGACCTTTTTCCTTTGTGGCAATTTCCTGCTCAGATAAATTTTTCATTGTTGTGGTTTTAACGACTTATTTTTATATTTTGTCTCTTTACAAAGTAATAAATACACATGGAAGTACTTCAAGTAGTACAAAGTGTATACAGTAAGTCTCCTGCCACTCACTGAGAGCCAGTCCTCCAGCTCCTCTCCCAAGAGGAGCATTCCTAAAACTTCCAATTACCGAGAGATACATTTCATTTCTTCATCCTATAACTCAGAGCTCTCCATGATCTTTTTTCAACCTCTTTCCCTCTTTTTTTTCCCCCTACTCCAGGCACATACCCGCTACTGCCACCAGACCTGCTATCCTGCTCCTGGTTGAGTCCTGGGTTTGCTCCTGGGTTTTCTCTGGGAAACTCAGGTCTTTGCTCTGCTGGTCCCGTCTGGCGGGGTGTCCTCCATTCTCCTCCCAAAGACTGACCAGCTTCAAAACTCTGCTCAGATCTAACCTGTCTTGCAAGGTCTTCAGAATTTCCCAGTCTGAAAGTGATCATGTTCTCCTTTTTCATCTTGTCATGAAGGATGATGGCAGATTCTCTTGCATTCATCTGATGTATTTGTCTCCACTATTGAGCTGTAAGATCTGAGGGGGAAGGAATTAAGAAACTTCAACTCCAGGTTCAGTTCAGCCGTTAATAACCATGTGCCCCAGAGAAAGCCACTGTGCTTCTCTGAGCCCAGTTTTCTCATCAGTCACAACATTTTTGAAAACAAATAGCTAAGCCTTACAAGACTCAAGAAGAAAGCAATAGTTTGTGCTGCCTCTATGTTCTTGAAGTAGGGAAACGTATTCTTTCTTTCCTATGTAAATGAAAATAAACATTTCAAGTAAATGAATTAGGTTATTACTGTCTCTAAGAAATACAAGCCTCATGGAAATACAAAGAATGTGTTTACTGAAGTATTTGAGGTAAACACAGAATTATAAATCTGAGTGATTAATACAGAATCCCAAGTTCCATGGAATGTTTAATTATGTACCAATACTCTCCATTCAAGTAAATAACTTGCAGGTTGATTGAATTCATGGACTTTCATTGGTGGTCTCTGAAATTAAATAAAAACCTTTAAGCTTTCTTAAGGTGTTGTTTATAGCAGGTGTTATGTCTTATGCACCTGCAGGGAGGGATGGTCAGGGGCTTGTGTCCTTATTTGAACAGTTAAAATACTCAGTACATAATCACCAAAATGTCCTTCTAGGAAAGAATTTCATATAAATCTGGTTAAAGTAGACTTTAATATTCATAAGAGGACAGAATTTTTGCCTAAATAAATCTATCGTGCAGAGTTTTGTGGCAATAATTAAATAAAGCCCAAGAGCTTAACATTACAATGGAAATTTTTCTTTCTAAAATGGGAAATAAAAACAAACAGTTTAACATTGCAGCTCATGCAAATGAGCTTATAAAATTCTCAGACTACAGATATTAAGGTACATTCATGCAAAAAGAAAGGAAATAAAAAGAATCATAAGAGTTTTTTTTTTTTTTGGTTTAACTTTACAAAAATAATTGAAAATAATTGTGAAAACCTGGATGAAAGAAATAATGTTCTAGAAAAATATGATGTATTCATCCAGATGATAGAAAATCTAGGTAGATGTTCTAAAAAGGAAATCAAATAAGTCAAAAAGTTGCTTTTGTTTCTTCAAATGGTTTCCCTGGAGGATTCTACAAAACATTTAGAGACCACAAAATTCCAATGCTACTTAAATTGTTTCAGATCATTAAAAAAAAAAGAAAAGTCTTTAGGTACATTTTATGAAGGAAGTATAACATTGATAACAAGGAAATTACAAAGATCACACCAAAAGGAGAATATGGAGACTAATCTCATTTATCAATAAAGTACAAAAATCTGAAAATACTAGCAAATAAAGCTCAGTAGTTCTTAAAAGAATAAGTCATTACAAGGTGGGGTTTATTTTAGAAATGTAAGATAATACTATGAACTGTAATTCATTACTTGATGGATCCAAAGAGAAAAAGCAACTGATCAGCATTAACAATGCTGAAAAGAGCACTGAGCCAGCATCATATTTTATGGAATAACTTAAGCATTCTTAATTTTTTTAAGAGGGTGATGAAATGAAGTGGAGGTAATAGTCAAGTTCATTTTGAAAAATAAAAATACCTTATGCATACATCAACATAAATTACTCTTAATGAGTTAATATTTTAAATGTAGAAAAATCAAACAGCAAAAACATGAGTAAATTCTCATAGAGGAGGAAGATCTTTCTAATTATAGACTCAAAGCCATAAACCATTTTAGAAAAGATTGTAAAATTCAAGTACATTAAAACAAGTCAAAACAAAAACTTCTGCATGGAGGTAAACATATGATAAGCCAATTCAAAGGACAGACCAATGAAAAACTGGGAAGAATTATTTGTACTTATATGACAAAGAAAAGGCTCACCTCCCTCTTACATGAGCATCTTCTTCAAGTAAATATTAGGTTGATGCAAAAGTAATTGTGCTTTTTGCCACACTAGTAATGGCAAAAACCGCAATTACATTTTTTTTCCACCAACCTAATATTTAAGTTTACTTTTGCACCAACTTAAAAAAGGCTCATGCCCGTAATCCCAGAACTTTGGGAGGTCAAGGAGGTGGACTGAATGTTTGAGCCCAGGAGTTCAAGACCAGCCTGGGCAACATGGTGAAACCCTATCTCTACAGAAAATACAAAAATGAGCCAGGCACGGTGGTGCGCACCTGTAATCCCAGCTACTCAGGAGGGTGAGGTGGCAGGATCGCTTGAACCCGGGAGGTGGAGCTTGCAGTGAGCCAAGATTGTGCCACTGCACTCCAGCCTGGGCGACAGAGCCAGACTTTGTCAAATAACTAACTAACTAAATAAATAATGATGTCTGTTAAATACATAGAAAAAAATAGGCAAAGAATATGAACAGACAGTACAGCACAGGCAATACTGTCTTTGGCCTTTAGATTTATAAGAGGATACTCATCTGCACTCATGAAAAGAGAAATGCTGAATCAAATAATACCATGTTTGTGGTTTCAAAACACGGCCCCAGAATTATTTGACACTCTTTCCATTAGGAGGTGAAGTCTGTGTCTCTTTCCCTTAAATCTGAGTTCTGTAGCTTTGCAACCAAAAGCATACAGCAGGGGTATTACTGGGCCAATTTCTGAGCCAAGGCTTTAGGAAACACAGTTTCCACTTCCTCTGTCTCTTTCTCTTAAAACCCAGCCACGATGCAGTGAGGAAGCACAAGCCTCTCAGTTGGGAGGCCCCCATGTGGACAGGAAGCAACAGTCAGTACTGACTTGCCAGCCATTAAGTATCCCTCCTGGAGGAAGGTCCTCCAGCCTCAGTTGAGTTGCCCAGTTGGCCCTGGATGGAGCTGTCCTCATCAAGCTTGGGGAAACTGAAGATTTGAAACAAGTTAAGTAATTGTTATGTTTTAAGCCACTGTGAACTGATTTAAAGTGCCTTTTTAAAGTATAGTGATAGATAACCAGAGCAACCATTTTTACTATTTTCTACTTCTTTTAGAATGTCAAAGATCCAGAGATTTGACAACTAAATTGTCAAGGCTTTGTGGAAGCAGTTGCTCTTACACATTGCTAGGAGATAGGGAGATGAGATGGATCGAGGTAGCCATAGAAGCAATCATTTTCTGTATATATATTTTTTTACTCTTTTGAATTTGGAACTATATGAGTAAAATACCTCTTTCACACAGTCTACCTTGAAAATAAAAAAAGTTAAAGTATATACCAATTAGTTATTTAGGAAATTTATATTTAACATGTATATTGAATTACACGGTTTATAAGGCAATTTTACAAATATTGCCTCATTTTATTAATCATAACAACTCTCTGAAGAATAAGTAGGGCAATTATTATTATCCCCAATTACAATTGCAGAAACCAAAACCCTGGTTGTCACCCATCAAGTAAATAGTAAGGCCAGAATTTAAACTGAGCTCTTCTGATACCAAATCCAGTTCTTTTGCGTGAGACAGCTTCATATAATGGAAAGCAAACCACCATAGAAATGAGGAGATCCAGGTCCTATTTCCAACTTTTTCTTTATCTCTTGAATAT